TGAAAGCAATTACCAGCAAACTCAGCTGCGCTGGTCATTGCCGTCTTCCTGGATGGGGACCCCGAGACGGGCCACATCAATGGCTAGAGACATTGTCAGATAGGGCCCAGTCGCCCCCTCAATGGCGCTCGTGCATCAAAGCTATTGCCTTCAATGGATAGCTCCTTTTCCAACCCCCTCGCCACTTGACAGCCCACTGACACCACATTGGATTTATGCACCAATTTATCAGCTCCCGTCTGCAATGCGGAGCTACCTACCCCTCCCCGCCCCCCGGTGAACGAAATCGCGGCAGCTACAACCACAGTAAGACGAGTACGCGGTTATTACAGCTGACTTTCCTGCTCAATTGGCTGTCATCAATGAAAAAAAGCAGTTTGTTAAAACGTTCAAGTGATTTACACCATAAAAGTCAATTTGTATATGATAGTGAAGAACCACTATGACTGGCGCGCATCTGAAATTTCCAGGTCACGTTTTAACCACCCTCTGTGTTGTTCGATTTGGAACACACGTTAGAAATCAGGAAGCGTTAAGTCTCACGTGACTGAGATCAATTGACTCTGAAAATGAAGGGTATGGCCACTAGCACTTTAACCTCATCGATTGTGTAGTGGAACCGGTGCTGCATACGCGAATTGAATTAGTGGAAAGACGAGATAAAATCCGAGCTATTGCAGAGTAGGCTAAAAGCAGCCACGCCATTCGACATACCTGACCAATCGGACTTGATTCAGAGCTTCACTGAGCTTTTCACGGACCACATCGTGACAACAAACAGCCTCAAAAAAGATTGACGATTTTTTGGATACCTGTGTGGACGGAGAAGGGTAGAAGAGATGAAACGCGGTGAATGAACTACGCTACATCCGTGACAGTACTGTCTTGATTGCACCTCATTCACAGCCATGACTGCATCTGCTGCCGGACATAAGATCGAGCTAAGTCACAACTACGACCACTCTACAATAGCCATGCTTAGATTAAGTCACCACGATTAAGGGGTATTCAAAAAAATCGTTCGGCTGTAACACCTTTTCGGTGCCTAGCCCATCCGAAGAAGCATGAGGGCGGGCATACTGCCACGTTGTCCAAGCCTATACAGGAGAAGTCTAGATGTAGGGTTCGAACCACGGACCTTCCGATCAGTAGATTCGCGCTCTAACCACTGAGCGTGTAGCCACCCACATCGTGAGCCAGTGAGCGACTGGGAGCCGAAAGGTCAAGTATGCTGGGTGACTGGGTGGCTACAGGCCATTTCACTTTCAAGGAGCAGTTATGGCCTCTCTAGAAGGAAGCCTCTCTTCGGATGATGACCATCATTCGGAATGGTCGCAACGGGTCTTGAAAAATTCAGATAAGTTGTGGAAGCGTACCGAAACAGCCAACGAAACCAGCACATATGACTATTTTCGTCGTTTCATCACATCAGTATACGGTTCGTGCGATGTCTGCAATCTCAGTTGCCACGAGAAACCAGGTTTTTCAGTTGCCCAAGGGGCACCTGGTCAAGTCAATTATGATGTTTACATCTCGTTTTCCAGAGCATGCCCAAACTCATTACAACAAGAGCGCATTCCACAACATATAGATACTGGTAACACAATTAGCCTGAAAATCATTCGCAAAAATAAATCCCACTAGATTATGTGCAAATTCAAATAGTTTCGACATCACATTTCAAATGGAGTGTGCTGCAACGAAAGCACTCTTCCGCTCGGCTTCCCAAGGAGACCGTTAGCGTGATCACAC